AGGAACTATTAATACTAAGATCTAGCTACTTCAGGTGTGAATGAATAAATCTTTACTCTTTGGGTGGACAGAAGATCAAAGCTATTCAGAATTTGTATCCTCTATTGCTATTATTACCAAGTACCTGGAATAGTTGGAATGTTCTATTTTTCTATCAGCTGACTGACCACCTGTAATATTATATGTACTTTCATTTGATCAATTATTGAATACTTACTGAACGGTCAGTGTGGCCATATGATACTGTTCCCTCCAAGCACATGTAAGGAAAAAGTTTTGCTTATGGAGTAAGTATTCTCCTTGCTCCCTCACTTCTGCTGTCTGGAAGATGGAGATGTTGGCCAGGACTACTACATCTTGTGATCGTGAGAAAAGCCACAGACATTTCAAAGCCCTCTTCATACCTTGTACCCCTTAGTTAACACCAGCAACTGCCTATCTTTTGGATTTCTTGTTACACTAGAAAAATAAATCTGTACTGTTTAATAAAGCCACCGATTTTGGGTCTCTGATTCTCTTAGTCAAGTGCAATTAATAAAAAAAGATGACAAAAAACCATGAACCAATTCAGACATACCAGAACATACATTATAGTAAACAATATAAGAGAGTGTATAAATTGCTAAATTATGAGAAATCGTCAGGAAATGCCACAGGAATTCAGGGAATACACTTCACAGAACAAATCAGTAATTTAAAACATGTGCTAAGAAGTCATAAATTTCTGTACTGATAAAAATTAAAGGTGAGTTATCAAAATATTTTAAAAGTCTATGTGATAGTGCTAACCCCCTGAAGCAGTTGTTTAAATCTTGGTTTTTCCCTGCCCTTTTTCTAAATATATCTAAATTTAGATTCAGTAGTGGGCTTTCCACTTACAGAATAGCGCTCAGAAAACATCTGATATTGTCTTAAGATAGAAGAAAGGAAGAAGATTTTGTTAGAAGTTTATATCTAGGAAGGAAAACACTAAGGTTTCAAAAACAGCACCAGATATTTAAGGAGTAATTGCTGATGTTCACGAGAAAGCCATAAATACTTGAGATGTGTTTAAATTAGAAATGACAGTTTAAACTGGTTGGGGAGCTTCAAGGGGCAGTTCCATCTCCCTTATTCCTGCTGTCCCAATAATTTCCACCTTCTCTGTTGCTCTTTAGGGAATAGTGTTAAGACTATATATTTATCCCGGTTTTGTGTTTCCATTTTATTTCATTGGTTAGATACGCCTACTTCGGGAGCATCTCCTCATTCCAGATTTATATAGATATAAATAACATACATCATTATAAATTTAAGGTGTACAGCATAATGCTTTGACATATGTACATTGTGAAATGAATACCATAATCAGTTTACTCAGCACTCATCATCTCATACAGTAAGAAAGCAAAAGAAAAAGAAGTTTCTCTTTGTGATGAAAACTTTTAGGATTTAATCTCTTACCCTTTCTATATATCCTACAGCAGGGTCAGCTATAGACATAGTGTTAGCTAGGGTTGTACATTACAACTGTAGGGCTTATTTACCTTATAACTGTAAGTTTGTACCTTTGACTGCCCCCTCTTCCAATTACTTTGGGAGGATTCAATAAAGGATATCAGAAAACCTGAATGAGATTAAACAATCTCATTTTCTTTTTTGGAATTATTTTCCTATTGGAGAAAAATAAGTATTAATCTTTTGGTAAAAAGTAAAACTAGGATATGCTCTGCTAATGAAGAAAAAAGGAAAAGAGTTGATATATAAAAATTGGAAAGAGGTGCCATTTAGTAGGAGAAATTAAGTCAACTGGACAGAAATAAAGAATGAAGTAAGTAGACGCAGTTGGTGTAAGGCTGGAAATAAGACATAACGTAAATTAAAATATGCTGAAATAAGCACCTATAAATCAGTGAGTGGTACAGTCAGCCATCCATATCTGTATGTTCCACATCAGTGATACAATCAACCGAGGACCGAAAATATGTGGGAAAAAAATTCCAGAAAGTTTCATAAAGCAAAACTTGAATTTGCTCCTCCCTGGCAACAATTTACACACCACTTACATTGTATTTACAACTGTTCACATAATATTTACACTGTATTAGATATTAGAAGTAAACTAGAGACTATTTAAAATATGAGAGGTAGTGCAGGTTATAAGTAAATACTATTTACCATTTTATAAAAGGGCCTTGAGCATCCTTGGAGTTTGGTATCCAAGGAAGTCTGGGAACCAGCTGCCCAAGGATAGTGAGTGACTACTGTACATTCTTAAAGAGAGAGGACTGTTCTTTATTTCTTTAAAAGATTACATGTCCACCTGTGTTCTCTATCCCCAGCCTTTCTATCTTCTCTAAAACTCAGCTTGATTGATTATTCCCTTTCCTCCTCTCCCTTCTTTAAGCATTCTCACTGTCCTTCTGTCTGCCAACATGGTTACGCTGCCAACCACTCAAAACCAAAGCAAAACAACATACACTGAAGGCATGAGTATTTTTGCATTTAATAGTCACTTTCTGGTCTTCTTCACTTTGTTGTTCTTTTAGTGGCTGTCTAATGCATATGGCTTTGAGCTCAACATGTGACCTGTGCAGACTGACGCTGCTGACTCTGCCCCTTCTTTTTGGTAACGTGTTCTCTTTTCCCACATCTGAGATCTTTGTTTTCTTCACTAAACACCCGGTTATTTGTCAGTATTCTCAAGGTTTCTCTTTTCATCCTGCTGCAAAGTTATGGATAAGAAATCATAACCATTTTCACTATTACTGCCAAGAAGTTAGACATTTCAGAAAGTACTGTTGCTAGTCCCAATCTATCTTCTCAACTCCAGTACTACATTTTCAGTTGTTGCTAATAATAACAACAGGTAATGTATATACTGTATATTACTATGGGCCAATATATGGCAATAATTGCTTTTCAAAGCACTTTACTTAATGTAACTAATTTATGGACATTTCTACTTGGCTAAACAGGACAAAGTGAATTTGCTCCACATTGTCCCTGTCTGTTCTCTCTCTCCCCGTTTTGATCTTGGCTAATAATGTAGCCATTATTACCATTTAGTTTGCAATCCCCACAATGTGATTAATCTCTTTAATGATCCTAAATAACGAAAAGCTCAAAATGATAGCAATTATGCCCACTGTGTTATTCATGTAACTTCATAACTACCCCATGAAGTAGGTAGTATTATTATCTTCCAATTAATAGGTGAACAGAGTCAGAGAAGTTAAAAAACCGGCCCAAGATCACATAGCTTGATAAATGAGAAAGCCTAGATTCAAAGCTAGGTTTGCATGAGTCCAGAGTTTGTACTGCCAAGTGCTGTTGATTTTATCTCTGAAGTGTTCATCCTCTGAGCTCTCATTTTCTAGTCTAGGCTCTAATCATCTTTCACAAGGAATACTGCCAGCATCCTCCTAAATTATTTCCTTCTTTCCAGGCCCTCCCCTTTCACCTTATCCTAAGTGATCTTTATAAAATAAACTTTTGAACATGCAATTATCCTGTCCAACTACCTTTCATGGCTCCCCATTGCCTAAAAAATAAAGGGCAAACTGTTTGGAATGCCTTTACAACATTCCTTTACAATTCTGTCTCCTTGTCCACATGCCCTATCTCTTCCTTCCCAATACACGTCTGTATATTATGCTGCAGCCACAATACTATTTGTCCTTATGCCTGAATTAATATCACATATTATGTATATTTAAAGATTGCGGCTTCATTGTGGATTTTGTGAAAGCATTGACTTTTTTACCTCTACTTGGTTTAGAAGAGAAGTGATAGACCAATGCACAGTCCAAGTACATATAAGAAGGTTTGGCAATGTGGGTTCCCCCACCCCACATATATATTATACATTTTTGGTTTGTAACAAAAGCAAGCCACCAATGTTTTCTATGCAGGATAGCAACATAAACAAAATGAAAATTTTGAGATTAACAACATCTGCTCTTACGAGTACAGAAATGGAGAAAAGACTATGCAATAATAATCCAAGACTAATTTAATCCTAGCAATAACCAAAACTATTGGCATAAGAAACATGTGGGGAATTAACATTTTTAACTTTTATTTATGAAAGAATATTTTTGTATTCAACCCAGGGCCAAGAGCAAAGATTGGAACAAATAGTTTCTGTGCTCAATTAGAACATATAGTTGAAGCTAAGTATTCTCAGTACATGAACCTAAAATTATATTATTTAGTACAGTGGTAAGCTGTCACTGATCTGTCAATACTAGATCCTAGAAGTTCACGTGTGTAGTACCTTATTGGGAGTATACACAGGATTGTTCACTCCAGAAAGTACCAAAGAATGCAACTCGCTGAGAAAACTCTTGATGAGAGGGCTCTAATTAAAACACAAAACATCCCCAACGTTGGAGCAAATATTGCCTATAAAGCACCTCAAACGGAATTCTTCAAATACTGTCTTACAATAAGATTGGAAATAAATTTCTAAAACGTTATGTAAGAGGTTTGGTGGGGGAAAAAAATGAACACAAAGATACTTCCCAGCAGTTCTGAGACAGAGGAGTAACATTGCAAATACAAAATAAACTATTCTGAACTCCAACTGGGTTAACTGTCATTTCTTTAATTAACCACTGACAAGTTACACCTTGTCATAACCAAGCTCATCCTAGCCACGATGCAAAAACCACCATCAGAACTGGATGGCTGCAACGGTTTGATCCGGGATGCCAAGAGGAGGGCGAAACATCCCCAGGAAGTTCCATTTCTTGAAAAAAATGGTGTTGCTGTGGGAGGCAGTCTTTTTCCGAATTACCTATTTGCTGCCTTTTTGTTTCAAACAGAGATATAACTAAGCCCACGGGCAGCCGAGCGCCGCCGTCAAGGGTCCAGACCAGGTCATCGGGCCCGCGGGGTCGCCCCAGGCGGGACGAACGGGTCCCCGGCATTCCGGCAGCGGTCGGCGCGGGAAGGCGAGGCCGGACGGACCACCCCGACCCCTCACGCGCCCCGGCACGACGAGCCCCCACACTCACCATTTCGATGATCTTGGTCTTCCGGCCTGTCTTTCTCTTCAAGGTGAATATGTACTGGGCCAGCACCACCCCCGCCACCAGGGCGCACACGCTGGCGCTCGCTACCGCGCCCACCCTCGCCACCGCCGCTCGATCCATGGACCTGGCCTCCTTTGCCTCGCAGTTCGAGAAGAGGTCGCTGGATGGCCACCGGCCTCAGAAACGCCGGCCGGTGGACAGGCCCGGGCGCCCCGCCCCTCCTGCACGAGCCCCGCCCCCAGGGAGGCCCCACCCACGAGGGCCCAGTGGCGGGAAGCGGGAGGCAGCTGGAGGAACTCGCCTGCACCGAAGGCCAAGGTGGGGAAGAGGGTCTTCTCAGAATCTAGGTCGGAGGAACTGCTCAAGGACAGAAAAGGGGAACTGAGGTAAATCTCTCTCTCTCTGCTAATGAGGACCAGGCAGTGGTTCATTCCAGCCCCGCCCACTAGAAATCTGATGCCAACCGTCACTCAAAAATAATCCTCGGCCTTCCACCCTCTGACACTCAGGACTACAACCCCCAGAAGGCACCTGGGGCGTCGCTATCTAACTTGCGCAGTAGCTTAGCTGCAAACTGCTAGGACAAACGGCAGGGTGCAGCAAATGAAGGGAGGAAAAGGCGATCTACAGAATATGAGAAAATACTTGCAAACCGTTTAATTGACAAGGGGTTAATATCCAGTTTATGTTAAAAATGTCAACAACAACAAACCCCATTAAAAAAGAGGCAAAAGACTTGAACAGACAATTGGTAAAGAAGCTTATGAAGCTTATCAATATCATTAATCATCAGGAAAATGAAAGTCAAAACCACAACGAGATACCACTTCACACAAGTTAGGACAACCACTGTCAAAAAGACCAGAAAATTAAAAATGTTGGTGAGGATGTGAAGAATTGGAACCCTTGTGCACTGCTGGTGGAAATGTAAATTTGTGCAGCCACTGTGGTAAAAGTGTGGAAATTCCTCAAGAAATTAAAAACAGAATTACCATATGATCCAGCAGTCCTATGTCAGGGTATATATCCAAAAGAATCAAAAGTAGACACTCAGAAATTTTAGCCCTCCCATGTTCACTGCAGCACTATTCACAATAGCCAAGATGTGGAAGCAACTGAAATGTACATTAAAAGATGAACTGATAAGAAAATGTGGAAATACATCAAATGTAATACTATTCAACCTTTAAACAGAGGCGAATTCTGCAGTATTTGACAACACGAATCAACCTTGAAGACCTCATATACGTGAAATAAGCCAGTCATAAAAAAGACAAGTTGCATTATTCTACTTATATGAGTAGTCAGACTCTAAGAAACAGAAAGTATAATAGTGGTTGTGGGGTCTGAGGAAGAGGAAATGATGGGGTCGTTCAACTGAGTAGTGAGTTGTTTCAGTTTTGCAAGATGAAAAATTCCAGAGATCTGTCGCAGAACTGTGTGCCTACAGTTAACACTACTGTAATACCTTTACTGTAATACCTTTAAAAATTACGTTGGTAAATTTTATGTTATGTTTTATACCACACACGTTAAAAAAGTTGCTATGGCAACAGCACAGCGACAGCTTGAAGTTAGGCTAGAGCAAGTAGGTGTTTTTTCTTTTTCTGCTACATTCCAATCAATCATCGCCTCTCCCATCATTGTCCTTTCTGAGTAGCATGACTTGTTCTCACCTGCCTGGACTCTTTCAAGGGATCGATGCAGTTTCCCCTGCTTGTCTCTAGGGGTAACAGGAAGGGGATGCAGGGAGCTACTTGGGGGGATCACATCAACTCTGTGGAGCTGGTGGTGCTACTCGGTGAGGCTCTCTCTTTGCCCAGGACATGGAAAAAGTTGCAACAGGAGAACAAGAGGGAGCAGTAAGGGTTGCTTTTCTCTGCACCCTCCACTCTTGCTCCAGTCCTTCCAGCCCTGGGACCCTGGCAGTTGTTCTGCTTGAAGGGAAATTTGTAGAAAGAGAGCTCTTAGAAAGGTGGAATAGAGCTTATCCGAGCAGGCATCTGGTGAGAAAACAAGTCTGGAATTAACCACTGGGTGCATGAATGCCTTTTGTAGAACTGGGAAACACATGTTGGCTACAATCAGTACATATGTTTGATTCCTCTGTTGTTGTTTTTAACTCTTTAAGTATGTAAATCTTTGTTTTTCTGTAAATTATTGTCCATAATGATATATGATGTTACTTGGGATGGTAAGAATATATGAAGGAATTTGATGTAAATTTATGACTTTTTGCTATGCACAACCTCACACTCTGCTCTGATAGGATTATTGGCATAGTCTTGGCTTGAAGTAGTTAAGTAGTATTCTTGTGAGGAAGAACTATTTGGTGGATGTAGGTTTAAGATCTTTGCCCACTAACGCTGTTAAAAATTACAACAATGCAAAGCAAAACTAAAAACACACCACTGAGACTTACTCTCTCATTTCTTTGCATATTAAGTTGTGGGATAGTGACAGTATGCAAGAACCTAAAGAGCAGGAAGAAAGTATGCAGAAGAAAGGTTCTGTCATTAGCTGTGACTTAGAGGAGTCATGTAATATCTCTGGGCTTTGCTTTCTTATCCTGCAAAAGCAAAAAACCAAATGATTTTGAACACCTTTTAGCTATTAAAGCTCTTTGATTAGAGAGTAATGGTCTTTTTCATGCCCTGGAAGATAACTTGGCAGAGGTCCTAGGAAAAAGAAGAGGGAAGTCTTGCTATAAAGAAACATCCACTGAGGAAATCAAGTGTTAGTTCAACCAGTGCTTCTCAAACATTAGGGTGAATGTGAACCACCTGGGGATGTTGTTTGTGGGGGAGGCCAAGATTCCACATTTCTTTTTGAAAGATATTTATTTATTTATTTGGTTGGCACTCAGGATCTTCGATCTTTGTCGCGGTATATGGGATCTAGTTCCCCAATCCCCTTAACCACTGGACCATCAGGGAAGTCCCAAGAGTTCATATTTCTAACAAACTCTTGGGTGTTGCTGATGCTCCTGGTCTGGACACTACACTTTGAATAGAAAGGAACTAAATGGTGATTGAGGGGCTTTATTTTGCTTAGTCACTCAGACGTGCCTGACTCTTTGCGACCATGGACTATAGCTCATCAGGCTTCTCTGTTCATGGGATTTTTCAGGCAAGAAATACTGGAGTAAGCAGCCATTTCCTTCTTTAGGGGATCTTCCCAACCCAGGGATCGAACCCACAACTCCTATGTTTCCTGCACTGCAGGCAGATTCTTTACCCAATGAGCCATCTGGGAAGTTCTTTAAGGAGTTAATAAGTGGAGGGAGGGGTGAATAAATAGAATTGATAGAATAGGAGAAACAAGAAGGAATTAAAGTCTGCCAATGTTATTTTGTCAACAGAAGTAGATCTTCAATTTTATGTTTTAAGTCCATGGAAATTATTGTTTGGTATAGAACATTTATAGATAATTTTGGAAACTTAAGTTTTGCTTACTGGTGATATTTTACTCTTCATTTTAGCAATTTGACAGAATTTTTTCTCTAACAAAGGTATTCAAGGCCTTTGTCACATTACACCTATTTTTATCTGATTCAATTACTTCTTGTTTGAAGTTGTTTAAATTCAAACAGATGCCATATCTCCTATCTAAGCATTTTGATTTTGTATTTATCATTCAATAGCAGTGATTAAAGAAGAAAAATTCTCTTTCACCATTGCTTGGGTATCTAATAAGTTCTCTAGGCAGGGCCCATGAGGTTTTCTCTTCTGTCTACTTGAGGGGACAATAAGACCTCTTCAGATGTTGAGCAAATCTTCCCTTTCTTTTTCTCTCCTTGAGACTCTTTATGAACTCTTTTTGGTTGATGTACACTGTGTGCAAAGGATCACTTACTTGTTGTTAGCCTACTGATTTCTGTCCTTGGCTGTGTCTCCAAATGGACCTTGTGCCAGTAAGTCTTCATTCTTTATGACGGGTCAGTAGCATTTAATATAGCAGGTTACTCCCTCTTTCTACATACACTTTAAAAAAATAGGTCACAATGATATTATATACATACTAGTGGTTCAGTCGCTAAATCGTGTCTGACTCTTGTGACCCCATGGACTGTAGCCCGCCAGGCTCTTCAATCCATGGAATTTTCCAGGCAAGAATACTGGAGTGAGTTGCCATTTCCTTCTCTAGGGGATCTTCTCAACCCAGGGATAGAACTCGGGTCTCCTGTATTACAGGCAGATTCTTTACCGACTGAGCCACCAAGGAAGTCCTTACACACACACACACACACACACACACACACACACACACACTCACCATGCCACGTGTGAGATCTTAGTTCCTTGACCAGAGATCAAACCTATGCCTTTGGCAGTGAAAGCACAGAGTTCTAAGCACTGGACTGCCAGAGAATTCCCTTGTGTGATCCCTTTATGGTCACAATCTCACCCCAAACTTAACCACTGGAAACCACTGATCTAGTCAACATAATGTCCTTGAGATTTATCTAAGTTGTTTTATGCATCAATACTTCATTTTTTCTACTGCTAAATTGTTTTCCATGATATGGATACAACAGTTTGTTTAACCATTTTACAATTATACATTGAAGAACATTTGTTTTTTTCCTTGAATGTTGCTTTTTGAAAAACCATGAAAAGGAAACAGCATCAAGGACTAACATTTCTTGGAAATTTAATAAACAGTGCCAGGTTCAAGAGTTTTATTGAACTCAATCTCCAGCTCCCGCCCCGTCTCCCCACCGCCCCCCCCCCCCCCCCCGCCAGGTTGAGGTGTGGGACTGAAAGTTCCCAACCTTTAAGCACAAGTTAGGTTTTTCTGGTGATTAGCTTCCTTCCTTGAGTTATCCAGGGAACCCACCTTAGTCACCTTATTAGCACAAATTCTGCATTGGTAGAAAGAGGCTTATTATGAATAACAGACGATATCATTTGAGCATATCCTAACAACAGCACAATTCTTCTGCTGAGATATAAATATTGAGTTGAGAGATTAGACACAGAGATTTAGGTGTGAGCAATATGCTGGTTATACTGGAAGTCCTGAGAATGTTGTGAATATGCAGAGAGAAAGAGTGGAATAAGATGAAGAAAATCTAACCTGGAGAATATGAACATTAAAGAGAGAAATTTGGGAGACAGTAAAAGACTTTAAGAAGGGTCAGTAGAGAGGCAACCAGTTAGGCTGGTACCTGGGAGATGAGGTTTAGTGATATAAACTGAAAAGTTTCCATGCCATTTAGCATCAAATGGTTCATCAGTGCCCTTGATGAGGGTGGATGAGTGGGCATAATGGTAACAAAATCTGGATTTGCAGTGAGTGAAGAAATAGGAGGTGGAGAAGGCTGAGTATTTACAATCCCCTTATAGGGAAATAGCTGTGAAGGGAGGAAAGGAGAATGATGACTGGGCACAATACAGAGCAATGGGAAGTGGGAGAATAATATTTCTTTCATGAGCCTGAACCCTTATAAGAGAAACTGTTAGTTACCTGCCCAGTTAATATCTATTCTCCACTCTTAGTCACAGCAACCCAGTTTCTTCCAAGTGGCAATGTGTCCAGCTCAAAGACAAGAGCTCACACACATCCTTTCAGTTGGGGGTAAGCAAGGAGATAGAACCTGAAGCTGCACGTGTTTTCTATTATAACTCTTTATAACTGTAATTTCTGGAAAAACCCGATTTCCATGCAGTAACGCAGTCATTCCAAACTGTCGATTCTCCCTAGAAGTACTATTCCTCCCTCCTTCACTACTATCCTATGTCTTGCCTTTCTCTCATGTGCAAAGAATACTGTACGTCCCCTTCTCACTGCCCACACCTCCCTGTCCCATCACTTCCCCCGACCACTGGGGTCCTCATAGCCAGAGCCCCTTCCCCCGAGATGTTGGTCTCAGCCACATGAAGCACTCTTGCTCACCCCACCTGTGGGAATCTTCCTCCTCTCAGGTCTGTCCTTCGTGCAAGTTGACCTCCTTCGTCTCTGCTTCTCCTCAGTTGGCTCCCCTTTCTTAAGTGTCAGCGGCTTTGGGCCCCAGGAAGAAAGGAGACCAGGAGCTCAGAAGAGCGGCTTGACCCGTCCTAACTCAACACACTCTGAGGAGGGGACAGTCGGGGAGACCGAGGGGGTTAGAAGGGCTCTGTCCTCTAGAAAAACCAAGGCCAGGATGCCCACACACAGAAGAATGTGAAGAAGGGAGGGGTTCACGCGGGAGTGGGCGGAGAGGACCACTTTCCTCCATCAAGTCTCAGCACCTTCCAGCGGCTTCTGTCTGGGCAGGCTGGCCTGGGAGCTCCGGCAGGGGGCATGCGCAGGGGGAGGGGGCCTGCTGAAGAGCTGCACGTGCCGCCCAGTGAAGCATAAAAAGGAGCCACTGCAACCGGCCCTGTAGGGGCTCTTGACGGCGCGGTCGGCCCTGTGTGGGTTGTGTGGGCCGCTACAGAAATTCCCAGTCACAGATGTCGAGCTAGAGCAGGTCAGTGTCCCTAATGGGAACGTGGGTCATGCATGGCGCGAGGGGACAGGGTTTGCGGGTCGTGGGGGACAGACTGGCCTACGGGAAGCGGGGTGTTAGGAGACGGAGCCAGGGGCCTGGAGTCCGGGGCTGGGCCGGGATTCAGTCTGGGGCAGGGGCTAGGGAGCATGGTGGAGAGGCTGCAGACAAGGGTGGTGCATCTGGGCCTACCCCTTTTCCAGTGCAGCTGCTGGGCACCCTGGCGTTTGACGCTGGGCACTGAGACCTCCCCCCCGCCCCCACGCCTCCAAGGCCTCATCTCCCCAGGGTGCTGCTGCCTGGGGAGCTGGACTCACTCAGCATGACGTGGGCCTGGGCCTGGGCCTCTGGGCGCTGCTCCGCTGGTCCTAACGCCTGCAGGGCAGTGCCCCATGTCTGCATCCCAGGCAAGTGGGAAGACAAGGCAAGGGGCCTGCCACCCAGGATCCCAGTCATGATGGGGGACAAGGATGGTTTTCTACCTTCACAGCACTTTACAGGGTGAGGCACAGCTGCCCTTTCTTAGCTATAAACACCTGTTTTTCAGTGGAAAATGAACTCTTCAGGAAATAACGAAAATTTTGAGGGCAGTAACTCCAGACCTTTCTTCTATGTGCCGCCCATGGCCCAGCAGCCTCACCTGGGTCTCTGGTACCAGAATCCTGCCTATAATCCACTCTCCATTTCTGGGGCAGGTGAGGAATCTGAATCCCCAAGGAGGTTCAGTGGGATTGGGGACCCTCCGTGTAAATCAAAGCCTGAAGATTTTCTAACTCCTTTGTCCATGACTTCCCTTTCCTCACCCTGTGCTCACGCTAGACAGATTGGGGCAGACCATAGGGCAATGTTTGTGGTTCAGATTAATAAAAAATATTCAAATTCTAGCTATATATCAGTTGTGTGCTGTGTTTAGTCACTCAGTCATGTCCAACTCTTTGTGACTCAATGGACTGTAGCCCGCCAGGCTCCTTTGTCCGTGGGATTCTCCAGGCAAGAATATTGGAGTGGGTTGCCATGCCCTCCTCCAGGGGATCTTCCCAACCCAGGGTTCGCACCTAGGTCTCCTGCATTGAAGGTGGATTCTTTACCATCTGAGCCACCAGGAAAGCCCAAATACTAGAAATGTATTCTCTATTCATTTGGCCAAGTTGTTGCTGTCCTTGTTTCCCAAATGAGGGGACCAAGGCTTCCAGTCAGTGACTGGCCCAGGATCATAGCATAATCCAAACAAAGTCTCATGTTGTGAGACCAGTCTTGTTGGATGAGGTACCTTAGAGCTCCTAGTCCTTGTAATTTTTCTACAGAGTCTAAAGATTCTAAAGCTATAATGGGGACATCAGAAAACTATGTTGGAGAAAGGTGGCAAGCAAGATTTGAAAAATATTTGGAAGGTAGACATCTTGGACCTAATAGATGGAGGTCCATTCAGATTGTCAGTTTCTACTTGAGTTTTGGGAAATTGTCTCTTAAGGAATTTGTCCTTCTTTATCTATGTAATAAATATTGTGGAAATAGGGTTCATATTAATCATTTATATTTTTATGCCCATGGGATCTATAGTTATGTACCCTTTCATTTCTGATATTAGGAATTTATCTTTTTGTTTTCTACCTTCGTTCAGTTATGGTCTAAGCAGACATTTTATAATTAGTATACCTTTTAACTTGTAAGTGTGTTTTATGGCCCACAATGTGGTCTATCTTTGTGAATGTTCTATGTAAGTGTGAGAAAAATATTCTATTAGTTGAGGGGGTCTGTAGAGGTTAGTCATGTACAATTGGTTGGTGCTGTGGAGTTCATTGGTTCCTATTGATTTTTTAATATTGACTGCATCTATCCATCTCTGCTGTAGGTGTATTAAAGTTTCTGACAATGGATTCATCTATTTTTCCTTGCAGTTCTATGACTTTTGCTTCATGTAGTTTCACCCACTGTTAAGGGCATATATATTAGGGATTGTTATGTCTCAATGAAGAAGTGACTTTTTATTGTGATGCCCCACTTTATGTCCTTGATTACTTTCCTTTTTCTGAAATCTGTCTGAAATAAATACAGCTTTTCCAAGTTTCTTTTGATTATTAGCATTAGCTAATTAGTATGGTATGTCTTTCTCCTTCTGTTTGCATTTAATCCCTGTGTTTGTATTTAAACTGATTTTTTTCTTTGTTTTTGTAGACAGCAGTTTTTCCTCTTTATTATGCCTTATAATTTTTTTGTCAGCCATTTCGTACTGGATAAAAGCAACTGATCTGAATAGGCCCTTAGTAATGGAGTGTTACCTTGTAGAGGTAGAGAAGGGATCACAGTTCTGTTTGTGAAAGGACTATGATTAGGTCTTAGTCTTTTAGTGTGATTTTTGCCTTTGCACAACAAACTACACGTGCTTCCCCCTCCCATTGGGTTTGGAAGGGTGGCTAGAGTGGACTGGAGAAAAGTATTTCCATTCCTGCACATCAGTTATGCTCTGTTTATTGTCTTCTGAAGATGAACCTTGTTAAGAACAGTGCTTCTGGTATGCATTATTCCTCTTCCTCTTCCCCTGCGGGAAGCTCAGGAGACTTTTCTCTTAAATTTACTGTGAGAAACTGATTGAGCTACGGCATGGAAAACTTAAAAAAGTGTGTGGGATGGTTCCCTTATGGATGAGTTTTCTCTGAGGATTTGAACTCAGACTTCATCCTAATCTTGCAGTCTGTCAATAGCAGTTGAGGTTTTCCTACCCCACTGTGAGTTCTCATCAAGTTTTGATCTCCTGGGTCTGTGCTTCTATAAGTTGTGATTGTATTCACATGGCTTTCCAGTATTGGTAGTAGCGCTTTTCCCAGTAACCAGGTGATTGCTGTGAATCACCTGAGAATTCTTGATTCTTGTTCACCTTTTTCACTTGGGTAGTATTGAGTGGCTTCCAAGCCTGTAGAATATCCATAATCATGTAGTCTATCATCTTTTAAATATTAATTGGACATGCAGTATGCAGTGCTCTAGAATTAAAATAGCTGATTTATGTTCTTATAAATAGGCTGATTTTGAGTAAATGTTTCCCTTCCCCATTTTTTCTTTTGTATAATAAGCTGAATTAGAGGTTTCTTTTTGCCATTGGCCAGCATTTGCTATTTCCCCATCATTCAGCAACCACATGGCAACCACGATTCCACTGTATCTAATATCATTTTTTTCTAGATTTTACATAAAAGTGATCGTATAGTATTTGCCTTTCTCTGTCCAGCTGATTTCTCTTGACAAAATGCCTCAAGTTCCAGCAGTTGCTGAAAATGTTTTAAAATGATTAGGGGAAGGAGGGTGTTCCAGAAAAGGAAAAGAGAAATTTTAAAAGCTGTCTTGGTGAAGGAACGCACCATGGCGAGAGCCTTAGTGGACCATCTATATCTTGAAAGACTCAATGAGATGAAACAGTGAGAAACTAGATAATGAAGTGTTTTATGCCATCCTAGGGAATGTGGTCACTATCCCTCGTATCTGATAGGCCATGATGAGCCATTTAAATACTGTAACTGGAGTGAGGACCACAGATTATTCTGGAAGCGAAATGGATTACAGACTTGTGAGAAGTGTGGGAGATGGGTTAAGAAGGTCGTTAGGAGTTACTCATGTAAAAACTGGGGGAGGACTTGATGTCCTTTGCTTTGGTTACAGAAGAGGTAACAGAAGGCTCGGTGGGAACCCGTGGTGGGTGTGAGCGGCTGTGGCTGTGCAGTGAGTCCTGGCTGAGTGTTGTGACTGGCGGCAGGAGACAGAATGGCTAACTCTCCCCTTCTCTTTCTAGCTTTCACAAATGGAAGTTTGTATTTTCCAATGGTGCTCAGTGAGTATCCTGCCTTCCTCGTCCCTCAGTCCCCATTGCCCACTACTGTTAACCGAAGATCCATCGTCCCTATGTTATGTAACACGGCACAGTTCCGACAGTATGGTGGCTATTGGGAAAAAATGAAAACCAAGGATACACAAACAGAAGCTGAACCTCAACCGGCTGAAAACTTGAATGAAAAACAAGACGTGCCCTCAGAAGGCGACGGCCCTGAGATGGGAAAGGTGACCAGTATTCCTGCGAGTACATCAAACGAAACGATGCCATCATATGATGTGGTTTATGGTAAAGATATGCCACAGAAGGAGATGCTGCAAAATGGGATTTCACAAAGTTTCTGTGAAAGTAGAGGAATGCTTTTTAACTCTTACGAGGGTAGAGACCGCATGAGCTTGGATGAAACAGAGAAGAGATATGCAGCTCTTTCCCCAAACCCACCACCTCTGAATGACAGAGATGAGATCCAGAATACCCAGAACTCAAAATTGTATCAGTCTATTGGAGATATGAACAAGCTTCATCAGGAACGGGCACTCTGTGCCAGTATGGAAGCAGTTAAAGACCTGAGCCTACACTCAGAATCATCTCAGAAGCCCTTTACTGCAGGGGAAAGTATGCCAGAGAACAGTAGCGGGAGCCATGGCTCCCCTGAGGCTGTGGGTGAAGAGGTAGAGAGCAACAGCTGCCCTGAGATGGCCATCCCACCCCCTCCCTGCTTGGCTCAGGTCAGCAAAGTAGATGAGGGCATCCAGTGCGACTTGACTTGGTGGACTGAGGTACAGTCTGGGAATTCCCCTGGGTCTTCACCAGGAAGTGGTAGGAAGGGAGCAGAGCAGATGTCAGTGGGGAGCAGGAACCAGGATGAAGTCTATGAGGTGGAGAACAATGGCTGCGGGGGGCGCGTTCCCTCCCCTGCCTGGTTGGCCCAGGTCCACAAAGTGGATGAGGGCATCCAGTGCAACGTGAGTTGCTCTGAAGTCCAGGTAGAGAAATTCCCCCAGCAGATCCCCTCCAGGGGTGAAGAGACAGCATCAGACAGCGAAACCAAGGGATCTTGGAAACAGCAAATCACCAATAGGAAATTAAGTGCAGATAAAGAGGAAATGATCATGAATGATGAGACTGGGGAGGTGTCTAATGAGAATTTGAAAAGGTGTGCAAAGATTAAAAAGACTGTGAAAGGCAGGAAGCTGAAAGAGCTGAGCAGCTTCTCAAATGTTAAGACAGCCTATCTGTTGAAGAAAAGTGCTGTCTTGACCATTGTGCTTCCTGAGGATTCAGAAGACTCTGAGTTGGAAGAGGAGGGTGACATGGATGAGGTAGAATGCCTTCTTGAAGTGAGTCCACAGAGCCCTCTGACATCTTCCAGAAGAAGGTCTTATCACAAGGCTGGAAGGATAATCAGGATGTCACCTGAGAGCTCTCTCCCTCCTCAACTTATGGTTTGGCCCACCAGAAATAAGTGCAAGTTACTACACGCTTATGGTGAATGTGAGTGTGTCCCTGCAGTTTATCGGTGGAGACGACAGGATGGCTGTGAAAGCACTGGTGTTGGGCTCCGCAGCAGACCCGCCATGGCCAAGCAGGAGGGACTGCAGTCCCAGAGAGCCTCTTACAGGTCACTGGAATGTAAGTGACTAATGGGTTCATATACTGTTTGGTTGTTTGTGCTGGTTCCATACTGGGTCCAGGATACAAAGGCAGCCATAAATTAGTATTTCTCTGTTTTGAAAATAGGTTTTTGCTTAAGGTATAGGTGCCCATATTCATGTTCAAAGAGAATCCCAAGTTAGAGTTCCTGCACTCTAGGAAATTTCAGTGTAATGTGAAACAAAGTGCTCTGGTAAAAGATGATAGAGAGGTGGGTGGTGGTGGGCTGAGATAGTCAGGAGGACATGGTCTAGATGGATGGCTGAGAACGGGCAGTCCGTATGGAGGTAGAGGATTTCACCCCGATTAGGTTCTGTGGCTTGAAGACAAAAGAGCACAAAGTTTGGAGTGGGAATGGAGACAGCAGGTGAGCTCAAACAGGCAGTCACGGCAGGATTCTGCTTGAGACCTTCTTGCCAGAATGGAGAATGGTGAGGGATTGGGAAAGAGGCTGGGAATGTGGTAAAGTACGAGGGTTTCTCTTCACTTACAAATTTTTATCCTGTAGGCAGTAAGTGGCTAATTCAGACTGAGTAGAGAAATGAGACAAATCTTTGTCTTCAACCAGTAGTATTTTATAGTAGGAATTAGCGTGGAGAGCACCTATATGGTGCTCTTGAATAAAGCCAATTTACTCAATAAAAAGTATTGTAATTCAAAAAATCAAAGTAGTGAGGGTCCTAACTCACACGGAAATAATTAGAGATGGGTGAGAGGACTAACAGTTTTAAACATCTTAAAAGGTTTAAGAGTTTTAAAAGGTTGGAGTTTGAACATGAGTACATAGGGGAAAAAAGGTAATCCATGGAAAAGTTATCTTGGGAAGAGTTGTTTTGCTTTGCTGTGTGTTGTGGGTGGAAGGAGTGTAAAATGGTGAGATTGAGGGACTGGACTAGCAGCCCATCCACACCTGGTTGAAGCTTGAGTTTGAACCATCCTAGGACTGGTGAGGGCACAGGTGACAGCAGTAGGGGACAGGGGGAGGACCCTAAGGGCCATTTTGGCAGATGATTACATCTGGGGTGCAAAGAATGAAGCAAAGCAGATAAGTGAAGAATGGGATGCATAAGGGCCTCAGGGAAGTTTAAATAAATTCCAGGCCTAATCCCAAACCTTTAGATTGAAGAAATATTTAAGCCTACCACTTCCACTTAAAAATCAGGGTATATTGTTAGGTTTTAAACTCCTGGCTATTGTCTTGATTTGATTCATGCTCAATGATTTGGGGGAAATTTTTAAAAAACAGGGTTCCTTTTCAATATGTGCAGGGTTTTCTGGCTTTGATGTTAGTCCTTGCTTATAAAGTGGCAGGAAATGACCTGGGCCACTGTGCTTAGGGACCCTCTCATGTGCATCTGACAGCATCTTGTGAACTCCAGAATAGTTGAATTAAAACACTGACTATGGTACCATTGGTCTTCCCAGTCTTATTTGCCTTTGTATTCCTATGTCATGTCATTGCCCATCAGAGTGTGTATGAATCTTTTTTCTGTCTTGGGAAATAGCATTGGTTATAAATTTACTCCTCACTGTGACCCAATACTATAGTTTAGTAGTTTTCAGCAGTTTCTCCTTTGGCCATATCTGAAAGACAGACTCACTGAGTCCTCCTGTGAAGAAGGTAATGGGAAGCTCAGTTTACCCCAGGTTACACAGTCAAGATTTTAATTTTCCTAATGAAGGCTCTCTTCTGGACTGTCTGTTTTTGCCAAGTGATCATTTCTACCACCAGGAATAACAGAACGGCATAGAATTTTATCTTGAAAAATAGGTCACTTTCTTGAAAGATGTGTTTTTGAATTGTTTTTTTATTTTGGTTTTGAAGCCTCTTGGGTTATTTAATGTATGAATCACTTCTCCCCTCAGGTAACTGTGAGAGAGCTAAAACCAAGTACCAGAGATTTGAGGCAGATGCCATAGAATTTAGGAAATACCCAGCAGCTCTAGAGGTTGGTATTTATCCTGTGTCTACTTTGTATTATGATTTGCTTTTTGGACTTTATTTGGGTTTTCCTACTTGGTGCTTGGAGAAGGAAATGGCAACCTACTCCAGTTTTCTTGCCTGGAGAATCCCACGGACAAAAGAGCCTGGTGGGCTACAGTCCATGGGGTTGCAGAGTTGGACATGACTGAGCGACTAACACACACACACACACACACACACACACACCCACCCACCCACCCCTGGTGCTTGGGTCTACACTGCAGTATTAGCTTTGGAGTATAGACCCAAGCATCAACATAGCAGTGTTCTAACTGGGTAACAGACATACCTTGTTAGACCCTAGCTTACAAGAAGTTTGGAGCCAAAGTTTTTCAATTGTGTGGAATGTTATGATTATTTAATTTGTAATTTATTTTTATACAGTTGTAAAGATTACTTTCCATTTATAGTTATTACAAAATATTGGCATCCTCGTGTTGTACAATACATCCTTGAGCCCTGTGGAATATTGTTTTTATCCTAATTTTCACGTTTAATTCCTGCTGCTGTTACCAATAGTATATTGTGGATTGTATGGAATTCTGTAAGTTTCCTGGTGGCTTCACCATTAGTGTTCTAATTTAGAGCTAGGTAAATGGAAGCTTAGCATCTCCCTTCAGGGGCCAGCAGCTTGACAGGCTTCCCTTCACAATGAGTCTTGGCACTGGGTAACCCTTCCTCACCTAAACCCCTAGTCTTGGACCAGTGGATTGATGACCTTTAAAAGGTCATTTCTGTCCTGCAGAGGTCATAAAGGGAAGAATGATAACTAAACTTAGGCAAAATGTTAACACCCTTGGCTTTCCCCTAAAAATGGAAACTAAAGATATTGGTAATGATTCTCTGTATCACATGAGTTACCTGACTTAAAGAACTGTATTATTCTATTGTTACTTCTTAGGAAACAAATTGCTGAGTTCCAGCTACAACAAAAAGTGAAATATTGCATTATCATGATGGATTAGAACACAAGATCTCTTTCTTGAACTACTAAAGTTATACCAGCAAACAAGAAAATATGACATTGTAAAGTTGTGAATTAAAAGTTGCAAAATAGCAAAGAAGTTGGATTTCAAAAGTGTAATTCTTAAGCATTTTCTTCTCCTCTCAAAATGGCCGTATCATTCATGACAACACTAGTAGAATTGGGTCACCCATGAATAGTTCTGTCTTGTCCTCACCAGGGACCTTGGGATAAAGAGAAAAGGATGGTGGAGTTGAGGACAGAATAAAAAGACTTAAGCATTCCATACAGAGGCTCTATCCTGGGAATAGAGAGGATGCTGACTCATTGTCTGTATAATGTAGGCCAGGCATATAGCAGGTCCGATAGGACACTGATAGATGTGTGGAGGGCAGGTGGTCATGCATTCTTTACTTGGATCTAGTGTCTCCTGATGGAGAAGGAAATGGCAACCCACTCCAGTATTCTTGCCTGGAGAATCCCAGGGACAGGGGAGCCTGGTGGGCTGCCTGCTATGGGGTCGCACAGAGTCAGACACGACTGAAGCAATTTAGCAGCAGCAGCAGTGTCTCCTGAAACAAAGGAAGCTTCAGGCATGTAAGACTTCTTTATACTCAGACCCTAGGGGCTAGATGGTCAAGAAGTGAATTCAATCTCCCAATAAATTGTGTAGGTTAAATATGACTAGGTACTCAAAAGGTTTGTGTGGCTGAAGACTGCCTGGGTTTTCTTTGAAGGAAGGTGGCATGGCAGAATTCATGGTGTTCCAGGTGTGGGAGGCAGTGGGAGTTCCACCAGGAATGTTTGTGGTCACTGTAGGGATACATGGATGGACTGGCCAATGTTCCCTGTGAGCTAAGCTGTTTGAACATATCTTTGCTGTGCTTATAACTTCAATAACCTCAGATATGCAGATGACACCACCCTTATTGCAGAAAGTGAAGAACTAAAGAGTCTCTTGATGAAAGGGAAAGAGGAGAGTGAAAAAGTTGGCTTAAAGCTCAACATTCAGAAAACTAAGATCATGGCATCTGGTCCCATCACTTCATGGCAAATAGATGGGGAAACAGTGGAAACTGTGGCTGACGTTAGTTTTTGGGGCTCCAAAATCACTGCAGATGGTGATGCAGTCATGAAATTAAAAGACGCTTACTCCTTGGAAGGAAAGTTATAACCAACCTAGACAGCATATTAAAAAGCAGAGACATTACTTTGCCAACAAAGGTCCGTCTAGTCAAGGCTATGGTTTTTCCAGTGGTCTTGTATGGATGTGAGAGTTGGACTGTAAAGAAAGCTGAATGCAGAATTGATGCTTTTGAACTGTGGTATTGGAGAAGGCTCTTGAGAGTCCCTTGGACTGCCAAGGAGATCCAACCAGTCCTTCTTAAAGGAGATCAGTCCTGAGTATTCATTGGAAGGACTGATGTTGAAGCTGAAACTTCAATTCTTTGGCTACCTGATGCGAAGAGCTGACTCATTGGAAAAGACCCTGATGCTGGGAAAGATTGAGGGCGGGAGGAGAAGGGGACGACAGAGGATGAGATGGTTGGATGGCATCACCAACTCAGTGGACATGAGTTTGGGTAAACTCTGAGAGTTGGTGATGGACTGGGAGGCCTAGTGTGCTGCAGTTCATGGGGTCACAGAGTCGGACACGACTGAGCGACTGAACCGAACTGAACTCCCTTATACTAACACACAACTGCTAGCTGGTGTAATGAGCAGGTAAAAAGTGATAGCAGTGAGGGCAATGAGACAAGTAAAAGGTAGTTTTGGCAAAGCTGGTCTTTTATTAGGTCTGTGATGGCCTGATTAACTTCTACTTCAGACCTGCTTAAGTAACATCAGGAAGAGTTCTGGCCTGTGTCCCCAAGCCATGGTTGCATAAGGTGATCCTCACATGTCATCAGTACACTTTCACAACAAGACAAATACAGGAGCTATCACTGTCCTGGCCATACTCTACATTTCTGAATGGTATTATTGCTGTACTCGATATTCTTACTACTCAGTATTCTTGCCTGGAGAATCCCCATGGACAGAGGGGCCTGGCTGGCTACAGCCCACGGGGTTGCAAAGAGTCGGACACAGCTGAGTGGCTGAGCACAGCACAGCTGTATGGAGACTGGCATTTAGTGTACACTATTTAATGGGTAACTTAGTTTTAACTTAAGATAACCCATTTTGCTCTGTGGTCACCATCTCCACTAGCATTCCAAGCCCATCAGAACACAACTGAGCTTCAGAGGTAGTTGGAGACAGGAATCCAGGAGGTAGAAATGCACTGGTGGGAGTAATGAAGGATTGGATGGGAAGGGTAGATCTGCAGATCCTGACTCCAGCAGTGTCTTACAGTTTAACTCATTTCTGACACTGTCTGCCTGGAAATGCATGATTTCACATGGCAAGAGCTCAGTTGTGTCGGACTATGCCACATGCCTCATCCACTTCAGGTTCTACTCAAAAGTCACGTTTTTGCCTGTGCTTCTGCCTTCAACTCCCTGCTTTGGATTCAGTTAATTTGCTACATTTCTGATTTATTATAAAAGGCTGTAATTCAGGAATGGCCTGATGGAAGAGATGCACAGGGCAAAATAGATGGGATGGGAAGTGGCACAGAGCCTCCATACCTTCTGCTTGCATGGCATTCTCCCAGCACCCTTGTGTGTTCACCAACCCAGATGTTCACTGAATCCCTCCTTGGGCTTCTATGGAGGCTCCATCACATAGGCAGGATTGATTAAATCACTAGCCATTGGTGACTGATTCAACCTCCAGTCCCTCTAATCTTTCCCCACATGAGGGTGTGGGGCTGCAAGTTCCAGTTCTATTCAGTTTGATTTTCCTGGCAACCAGCCTCTCCCCACATCCTTAGGTGCCTTCCAAAAGTCATCAACATAAACCCAGATGTTGTGGAAAGGAGTTAGTTATGAATAAACAAGACACTCATTTCACTTCTCTGGTTCTGTCATGAATGGAGGACAAGAGACCAAACACAACAAAAGATGCTCCCATTGTTCTTATCACACATGATATTCCAAGGGTTTGGGGAGCTGTGTCCAGAAACTGGACAATGACCAAATATATCTGAGACGTATATTTTGGTTATATGAGTGATCAAATATATATTACAAATCACGATATTGGAGAATGACAAACAGGAAACAACAGAATGCGGTAGAGGAATGGTTACGTGATTGTAGTACCTTCAAATCAAGGAATTGTGTGGCCACTTAGAGTGTGTGGTATGTGTCATATGAAGACACTATACCTATGATGCCATAACACAGGATATATTTGCTATTAAAATCAATATTATACTGTTAAAACATAACATGGAGATGAATGTGTATAGTATTTATACTTAAAGCCCTATGCTTGCTTGTGATGTAGGCAGTATTCCTGGAAGACGTCACAAGAAACTGGTAAAACTGGTAGCCACTGGGAAGCTGGGGGAGGAAGGAAATAGAAGTTTCATAATTAAACCTTGGGTACCTTTTAAATTTGGAGCATGTGCATGCATTAAGAAATAAAAGTAAATGCATTTAAAAAATAAATAGTGAGCTTTTATTATCCTCAGCAGCAGAGGGAAGTCAAGCCTGAGCTCTACGGGCACAAGTAGCTCCCCCCTGGAGGTGAACCTGCGGCCGCACCTGGAGAAGCTCCTCAGAGACTCCCTTCATCTGGCCGCCCTGCCCGAGGCGTTTCTAAGGAGTTGGGACCCACGGGGATCAGCAGGGAGGAGCACAAGGGGAAAAGCTGTCCAGCCTGAAGTCAGGCGTGTCCAGAGCTAGCACCTGGCCACACACAACTCACATCCTCCCTGGAAGGCAGGTGAGAACCTGCACCTGGGACACCACATGTCTTCCCTTTGGGCGTCTCTCTCTCCTGTTCCGCTCCGACTCCACCTTCCTCCACGGGTCCTCTCATCTTTGGCCACAGTGTTTGGTTTTAGAGAAGAGAATGTTGAACAAGCCAGGCTCTCGTCATTCTGAGTCCGAACTCTCATTTGACTTGGAAGACTTATGCTTTCGTTTTTTCTTCTTTTTCTTTTCTTTCTTCTTCTTCTTATGCTTTTCTTTCTTCTTCTTTTTCTTGTGTTTCTCTTTATCTTCTGAGGAACTGGAGCTGCTCCCATCATCATCTGATGTTGAATCCTCCAATAACTGTTTTAACTGTTGTATCCTAAACACATAAGATTGACCAAAGAACCATATTCAACTTAACTTGAAAAAATTTTTTAGATAAAAAGATAACAACAGTAATGAGGGTGAAAAATATCACAAATTAATCACCTCATTAAAGATAGTATTTATTTTTATATCTTTTCCCGATTCTTGTATACATCCATGCCTGTTTTACATGACTGTAACCAGTGTACAAGCCATTTTGTATTCTTTCCATTGTCCTAAGTATTTTGGCATGTTTCCATAGTCCTTCCTTTTATAATTTCTAACAGATGCATACTTTCCTAAATCATTCTCCCACTGCTCAAGTTCATGCTAGGTAATCTACCTCTTCAACAATTATAATTCAGCACAAGGAATTATATTCAATATTCTGTAATAATCTGTAAGGGAAGAGAATCTGAAGAATATATGTGTGTATATATTTATATATTGATATATTTCTGAATTGCTGTGCTATACTAACATGATACTGCAAATGAACTATACTTCACTAAAAAAAATTGAAATGATTATAATTCAATACCACCAATTTGAAAACAAAACAATATTAAAAAAAAAAACCCACAAAAAAGTTCCTCTTGTTTTTTCACCCTGTCTAGGAATTTTAAAAAAGCTCAGATCTTTAAAGACACTAGAGAAGATAAATGGTAGTTGCCAATACTATCATTGACACGAGTGAGTTAAGGCTAGGTCAGGCACAATGCTTTAAGTTAACCCAAGGAGAACAGGCTGGCCTGATCATTCCCTACACAGTGGCTTTTTTTCAGTGACTACTCCAGTCTTCCAAATATTTCACAATTTACTAAACCACTCCTCTAATACTGGGATTTTTAAATTTTAAATTTATAAAGTTTCTAGCTTTAATTTCAAAATTTAAGAGGATATTGTTATCAGGACAATCTCACCTTATATCCTTTTCATGTCTTTTATTCTCACGAATGATGTCATACATGGGATCTTCATGTGCCTTGAAGGTTAGAGAAGGTTAAGGTTAGTTTGGCTTCATAGACTGTTAAAATTAAATCCCTCTTTCATGGAAACATTTTTTTCCTCCTGTTTGGTGGTAATTTTATATTCACCATGTTCTAATCCTTCTTAAGGGCTGCCATCATTTCAAACTCCTAGAGGCTATAAAAAAGATTTTCCAGTTATACAAATACAGGATATAATTTACACAGCCTTCATAAGGAGATAAACCATGGCAAAATCATTATTAAGTACTACTCAAGGTTAGAAATGTTGAGATTAATTCTATTTGTTCTATATGGAAAGATGATCAAGTGATACTATTAAGCAAACAAGTGAGTTGGAAATGATACATGATTCATTTATATGTGCACAAAAACATACTGTATATGACCAAAAAGAAATCTAGAAGTATACTCATCAAACTAGTTACTACAAATTCCCTCTGAGGAGAGAGGCAAGATTGGACTTGAAAAATCAATTGTGAAAAACCTTTCTGTAATGTTTCCATTCTGTTAAAATAAGATGAATTTAATCTTATATTTGTATAATTTAAAACTACTTACTTAAAAATATGAATACACATAAAATTTCATGGCATGTGAACTATCTTTAAAAATATAAAATTTTTTACACATCAAAGAAAACATAAAGTTAAAAATATCTGATATCTTACCACCTAGGGATATCCACTGTTAATATTTTAGTGTGCTTCTTCTAGTCATTATTCATATTTCCAAAAAATAGAATCATGTTATGTACATCAATGCAACTCTATTCTTTTTCCCTTATGTTTTCATGAATATCTTCCCATGACGTTACATATTCTTTTAAAACATAATTCTTTTTTAAAAAAATAATATCCATTTATTTGGCTGCGTTGGACTTTGCGGCACTTGGAGTCGCTGCTGCAGTGTGTGGGCACAGGCTCCAGAGTGCGTGGTCTCTCTAGCTATGTGTGGGCTTGACCAGGGATTGAACCCATATACCCTGCGTTGTAAGGCGGATTCTTAATCACTGTAGTTAGCACCAGATACTGTGGCTTAATCACTGGATTACCAGGGAAGTTCTTAAAACATAATTCTTAAAAGCCATATGATTTATATGTTGCAGCGAATCATGCTGTATATCGGACACCACAGTTGTTTCCTATTTTTCTTCAATTTCTATTTTTTAATCATATAAATAATTTTGAAAGTTATAATTATCTGTGTATAGTGATGTTCTGTTTTATCTTTAGATCAATTTAGATTTTGAAATTTTAAAAATATGAATGTATTTACGTTTTTGAGATTTATCATCAAATTATCTGTTAAAGGTACTGTAAAAGCTGACATTCTGGGTAGGAGTCATTTATTCAGAATATTTTCTGTAAATTAGTAAAATGAAAACCCAATATTTTAATTATCTTAAAATCCTTGTCGAATGTTTATATACCCCAGTTTGACATGCTGATAATCCCAATATCCAGCAATAGCATAGTTAAATTGACCAAAATAGTTATTGAATGGTGAATTAACACCTGGGAGGTGACTTTGTTAAGATAAAGTGACAAGGGACTTCCGTGGTGGCCCAGTGGTTAAGACTCTTGAGTTTTCAATGAAGGGGAGACGGGTTTGATCCCTGGTTGGGAAACTCAGATTCTACATGTCACATGGCTCAGCCAAAAAAAAAAAAAAAGTGATGAAATGATTGACTGACTTTATTGTCATCCAAAGAAAGTATATCATTTGTACATACTTCCAGTTTATGATACAAATATATGTAGTCTTTAGACAAAAGCTGAGAAATTAGAACCCTATTTTATTTATGAAATATGATTTTTCACATAAGTACAAAAAGACTGACTGAATTGATAAAAATGCCTCTTTGGAAAAGGCAGTGTTCCCAAGTCATAGCAAATATCATTTTAACAAGCATCTTTTTTTTGTTAATAACTAATCTGTCACACAAATTTGATTTAATAGAGATGCAGTTAACACCAGATACTTCGGCTTAAAGGCTTTGGGAACGTATTTTGTGTGAAACTCCAGTTCACTGGTGACTGCCTGATTCACTGACATTCATCATATCCAGTAAATGTAAATTGACACTCTGGGGTTTTACTTACTACTCTGAACTGTTCTAACTTTTGGTTGCCTTTGATAAAGAAAGGGCATTCTTTGTCGCCCGTTCGGTGACCATACCGTTTACAGCGCCAACCTAAAATAAAGACAAAGGGATATATTTCTTTAAGATAATATATCTTTACTTAATCAAGATAAAGTATCAGTAGATCATATTAAAGATATTCTTCATTACATTCCAATTTTAAAAGCAAATGTAATTAGTGAAAAGAGAGAAACTACTTCCTCAAGTATCCTTTAATTGCAGAGTTTTAGAAATGAACCAAGTACTTACTAAATAATTCCATGCAAAAAACAAAGTGTGATTTTTTTAAAAACTGTGCCATAGGTTGAATTGTGTCATCCCCTTTGCTTTCCCACTGTATTGAAAGTCCTAACCACTAGTACCTCAGAATGACCTTACTGGGAGACAGGATTTTTAGAGGCCTGGAATACATCCTTTCCACACCAGCCCTCAGAAGGACAGCTTGACCTTGGATCATTAGCCTCCAGAACTGTGAGACAAGAAACTTCTTGTTTAAGTCGTGCAGTCTGTAGGACTTTGTTACAGCAGAACTAGTAATAGTTACACAGGCATTCAGTAACTCCAACTAAGGAGGTCAGGAAGCAGGACGAAGAATTCTAGGTGTAGGATTAGCCAATTTTGCTCCATGCTGGTAGCTAATGAAAATATGTAGTGATGGGGAAATATTTTCTTCTTCGCATTTCAATGTGAAAGTTGGTAGTAGGAAACCACTGGGAAAAAATGAAGTTTAGGGATCCTCTGATCTGCCCCTTCTGCATCTCCCCACTATTTTGAGTTAGTTCCACCTGGGGAAGAAGAAATGCATTCAATACAAATGCAGACCCCTTCAAACAAATGTCTGTCTTTATGAGAAAAGGAGAAATTTTAAATGCCATAAATTGATGTGCAGTGTCAAGAAGGATCCATATGATCTGTGATCAAAACCTCTACTAAAGGAGAGGCGATGCTTACTCAAGGTGTGGTCAGTGGACCAGCAAGATTGGCATCACCTGGGAGCTTGTCAGAAATGCAGAGTATCAGGCCCACCCCAAGTTTGAGAAGCTCTGCGTTAGATAACACTAGGATCATGGAAATCAATGACAATAGGGTTATGTGTGCATGTATTTTTGCATCTGGATGGATATAAGTTTTGTGAAGTCTGAAGCTTACATAAATTAAGGAGAAGAAGGGCTCTTTTGGGGGGGCGGGGAATCTTGACTTGGTAAATTTTACAGAAAGACAGGACCACTGTTGGGACTCCAAAGGCCTTTCGAAGGTGCAAGGAAGGGGTCCTAAAGCTTAAGCTTCATTAACTTTATGTAAAACTGGTTCTGGTCCAGACTAAACACTTTTAATTTGCATGTCAATGAAATAGAAAGTTAAGCACAACTAACTACTCCATCAAAGAGAGGAGTGCTTTTTAAACTTAATTTTTAAAAAAGGAAATATAATCAGTTTAACAAGTGATTCAACTCTGAAAATAATAAGCACAATGGATTTATTTAATTAAATTTATGATATAACTGTTATTGGGGAAATGAGATAGGTAGGGCATGTGTATGAGATGGGATGGAGGAAGAAAAAAGGAGCTGAATTCTGGTCTCCTACAGTAAGAAATGAGCAGATAATAAGGAAATTGGAAAAATCAAGGGTCAGGAATATCATCCTGTTATCTAGATATATGGGGACAAACTTAAAAATAACCGTTTTAAAAGAGGTTCAGGTGAGGGGAATGCAGGAAAGGGATAAGAACTGATATTTTAATTGTGTGCATGAAGGATCTTTGTACAATAAATATTTCTAAAGGCAGCAGTACCCCTTCTTCAAATGCCATCTTATGCTGGTACAGTAGATGGTGTGCACACGGCTCCACCTGGTCCAGACCCACCCTGTGTGGCCCACAGCTCCTCTCAGGTCACCTGGGTAAACCCTAATACCAATAATGAGGAGGACAGGCTGAGGTGAGACCCAAGGAACCACCCCTCAGTGCATCCTTCGTCCCCCATGGCATTTCTACATGGAGTATCCTTTCTGTTACAGGACTATTACTGAAGCATAGACTCTGCAAGCAGCTACAGTCCTGTGGAAAACCACCGCCCTTGCAGCCAGAAGCCCTGGAGTCAAGGCACTGCTCTGCCGCTTACCCCAGGCACTGACTAACACGTGGAAGGCGGCTTCCTCATCTATCGCCTAGAGATCATGCCCTGACTTCAACAGCGTGGTGTCAGAATGAATTAAAAGGAGTGAACTCATTTGTAAACAGTGGCCTATAACATGCGTGAACTGAGTCTGTTACTTGAAACCTTTCCACGCTCACACTGCATGACTTTGACTTCTTTCCCCAGTGGCATCCAGAGTCCTTTGGTTGGTGCGTGGGCCAGAAACTCCCTGGCATGTTCATTGCCTGGGACATCTGGTATACAGTCTTCTGGCTTAGTCTCATCTTCCTGAAAAGGAAACAGTGTGTAAGCTCTATGGCAAAAAAAGCATCAGAGCCCTCTCCCACCTGCTTGAGAACACAGCACTGCCTGGCTTCCTCATGGGCTGGAGATCCCTATGTCATCACGTCATCCTCTGAAAAGCTAGAATGACAAATTATAACTGACAGAAAGAAAATGGAAGTAACTATTCCAGAAGAGCTAGCTGTACCACAAAAAATAAAGCAGCTGTTCCTGAGAAAAGTCACTAGTGTTTACACAGGGATGATCTGTGAGCTCCAAATTCTAATTCTAGATCACAAAAATTAGATTCTAAGATCACAAAAAATTTTCTGCTAACTTAGAAGCTTTGTGGAATGAGGCAGAAGACAGAATTAAACAAGTAAGGTTTCCTGGAACAATAAAAACAATGTGTCAGAGTAAAACAGATTATTAGACCTTGAGGGCCGCTGTCATGGTTTATAAATCTCATGCATACTGTACTTGTGATGCATTTTCACCACCAGATAACTGCACTGTATAGTTAAGGTGCTGTTTTTTTACATTATGATTTTTTCAAGTTTCCAGGAATATTAAATTTATAATGGAAGAATGTTTCCTAAAAAAAATTTTTTTTAAGTTAAAAGTTACCAAACAGAAAAGATTACTTTGGCCTTAAGTCCTCTAAGTCTCAGTCCCAGAGAAACACACTGACACTGTGGCCAGGGTCTTGGAGGAGGGACTGCACCAGGCGGGGCTGGACCGGATGGATTCACATGTCCTCAGAGTCCACGGTTCTCTGAGCTGATGACATTCAAGAAAGCAGCAGCGGAGCGTCAGAGAAGGAACACGAGCAGCAGAGCTTTGAGAAGGTGCAGTCACAAGGGAGACAGAAAGAAGGGGAGCTGGTGCTGAGGACACCCAGGGGGCCTGCAGTGGTGTCTTAGGGACGGACAGACACGGGGCAGGTTAAACTCTGCAAAGGCACAGACTATGACAAAGCCCCAAGTGTACGAACCGACTGCCATCTGCAGGGAAGAGACAGAACTACCATAAAGGAGGTTCAAACCTGCAGCAGCTGTTTTTCATAACAAGTGACTGAGTCTGAGCTCTGGTCAAATCTGTCTCAGAGAAAAACTAAAAATACAAACTTTACACTGACCTTGATAAACCCAGGAGGAGGTTTTTCATAACTAGAAGGAAAACAAAAAACACAAAAAACTGGTCATCAACCATGTTCATAGGAACATAACACATTTCAATCACCAAAAAGCAACTACAGGCCAAAATAAAAAAGGTTATTTTTAGTAAAAAGTAAAACTATACCATCACTTTTAGAAACAGTTAATAAAATATGCCCAGCAGTCAGAGATGTTATGTTAATATGAATAAACTGATGCTGTATCACGTCCTGCTGGGATGCAGAACTTAAATTGACCAAATAATAACTAAGTTGGTGTCTTAGGACAATGATTTTATATTTAGAGTAAGGGAAATCAAGAGACTGCAGGGAAAATGTGAGGGAAGAAGAGACTTGAGCTAATTATGGTTCCAATCTGTCATTACACTTGTGGGTGATTTACCTACCATAACTTCCAACTTCCATAACACTGTGAGGCTCATGGGGGTGGCGGTGTGAGTGCTCTAAGAAGGATGGGGACTGCACCACGGGGAGGGAACAAAGCCGGAGGGAAGGGTCTGCTATTGCGAAAGGAGGTGGGGGTGATCCATCCCAGAAGCTCCCCCTCCCACCCCTCGCCCCAGCTCTGGATTCAAGATCCTCTCTACTGGCCCATGGTGTTTGCAGAGCACACTGCCACTTGCTCCTCAGCTCTCTGACTGCCCTTTATGCCCCTACTGACCCTTCTGGGCTCAAGGATGTATGGCGATCGTGGCACTCAACTACTGCTAGAGAAGCAGATGACTGTGTGCAAATGTACTTTCCCTTCCACCAATACAGCTCTCAGACCCTCGGGTTCTGAGTATGCAAATCATGCCTATGCTCCCAACTCATTTCCACTTTTCATTATTTTGCTGGAACTTGGGGAAAAGGCTTCTGGTGCCAAATCTACAAAAGCAGCACCCACCGCTCCCATTCATTAAAAAAAAAAACAAACTAATTTTAAAAATTGAAATGGAATTAACATATAACACTGTATTACTTTCAGGTGTAATTATGTTCAGTTTCAAGCACTGACACATTCTAGGCTCTGCAATGCAGAGCGTGGGTGTCTGGCTTTTAAAGGTGACTGCCTAATGGATATAACCCCCTTCTTAATAAAGAATGTAGTTGGAAAAAGAGGCAGGATAACTGAACAGCTCAGGTCTTTTCAATGCCTCTCTAATGGAATTTTACTGAGAGAGGGCATCGAGGTGCTATGACTGGTTTAAAATGCTGTCTTGACTCCAACTACTTGGAAATTGGGGAGTCCCAAAGTTGCTGTACACAGAAGGTGAATTCAGAGATGATTAATTTTCTGAATTTTAATACACTGAAAATGTCATCAGGAAAACATTAATAAATTCTAAAATGGCTAATCACTTATCTAATAGTCAAATAGATACGGATTATTCTAAAACTAGGCCAAAATAGTTTAAGTTAAAACAAGAAAGCAGTAGTGTACAGGACAGAGTGTTTGGTATGGTTCTATTTGCGTGTATGGGAAAAGGGAGATATCACCTGAGGGAGGGAGCTTTTTTCTCACTTACATTTATTTACATGCAAATACACTGCCTCAAAAAATGTTTTTTTAATTACAAAAGATAAATGAAATTAACATCATCTTCCTCACACCTATGTTGGTATAAGTCCAGGCTAATAAAGTTCTGAGAGAGAAACCAAAGGACTTAGGGGCAAAAAAAGGCCACAAATAGGCTGTTAGCTCATTTCTGTTATAGAGTTACAAAGGAAGCATTTTTGTTTTAAAAATTTCTATGTCATTTGTTTGTTTCAGGAATCATATCCTCACTCCTGCTCTAACCAACTTGCTATTTCCTCCTACCAAAGAAAAGAACAGGTTTATTAGGAGAAACTAAACTTTTAGGTGATACTGCAAGTTCAGTTTAGAAACTTACTCCCTGCAGAAGTAACCACTCAACAATTGCCAGGCCAGGCACAGCGCTCAGTACCAGAAGGGAGAACTGAGGGGATAAGGGTACTCCTAAAGAAATCTAGAAAAGCCATAAAAGTTGAAACTGCTCTTACAAAACCTCAGTGTAACTCTGGACAAAGGTCCTCCGTAGCTTGGGAACCCCAAAATGGAGTGGCCCAGTTCAAATCTAAACCTAAGTCAGTCTGCCCTAATGGGAAATGCCTCGCTGTCAAGGAAACCTAGTATATACCAATCACAATCCTTTAGCCCAGGGCTACCTAGCTTAGTTTAGCTTACCCTAGATAAGAGGACGAGCAGGCTTTGTAAAGAAATCCCTAAAGAAAAAAAAAGAAGAAATCCCTGACTCCCTAGCCAATCGTGTCCTATTTTCAAGTTGCCTCTCAGATACCCTGTAAAACTTGCTCCTGTCCAAAATAACTGGGAAGAGTGTTCCACTGCAGATGAAACACTGTACTTCCTCAATCTGTGGATTGTTTTCCCTTGAACAAAGGACATCAAACTGTTTGCAAAGTGTGGTAGTTTTGTCTTGACACCCTTTAGGACTGTCCTGATAAAAAAGATGTTTTAGTTTTTGAAGTAGAAAACCCTAAAGACATAGCATTAATGTTACTAATGAATGGCTGCTGACAGACTGTATCACCTGCCCAATTTATACACATTTCTATTATTCTTCCATTATGGGCTTCCCTGGTGGCTCAGATGGTACAGAATCCGCCCGTAATGCAGGAGGTCCGGGTTCGATCCCTGGGTTGGGAAGATCCCCTGGAGAAGGGAACGGTTACCCACTCCAGTGTTCTGGCCTGGAGAATTCCATGAACAGTCCACTGCGTCGCAGAGTTGGACATGACTGAGTGAATCTCACTCTCTTCATTATTCTTACTAAAAGAGGCCAGGCCTGTGACATGCCACAGCTTTCCACTGGAAAATATTTCAGCAATTTGCTTTGGAGATACCAGATCTAAAAAGCTTTGTACCTTACCTACAAGGCTAATTCTGTTTACAGCCAGTTGTTCAAATGAAGTGACATTCAGCTTAAGAACCACAGGAGCCAGGCTCCAAGAAAGCATGCATTTTGTCAAAGTTCCCAAAGGTTAGTAATGAAGGATTAACCCTTTGAGGGCCTTACATCATTGTCTCAGCAATCATGAGAAGGTAGGCAGTGAGAAGTGCCTGAAACAAATAAGTCAAATAACTCATTGAACATCAAACTCTGACTCTAAGTTTGACCTCTAAAGCTGATTATAGAAGGAAAAAACAGAAGGGAATAGAAAGGGTTATTAATCCAACTTTCCACCTTATATTTAAATCTCCTTTACAACCCACCCTTCTCTCAGTGGTCATCCGGACTCTCCTCCAACCCTCGGGAGCTGGGGGAGCACACTGCCTCTTAAGTCAGGCTGACACGGGTCCTAATTCTTCTTCTTCTTGAGCTGGAACTGGCCTCCTAGTAGCTTTCACCCTTAACCCTGGTAAAAAATCCTAAGGACCAGAGAGAACAAGTCTGCGCTCTCGTCTACGTGACAGCTCCTCCCGAGTAGTTGGGAGCCAGGCCCTCACCCCAGTTGACTTCTCTTCGTCACCGCACGAACGGAACGGGACTGGGCTTTCTCTTCCCTTATTAAGAGCAGAAGATGAAAAGGATGGGGATTTTAACCCGTTCACAGCGCGCCCCGTGACCTGAGAGCGGGAAAGACCAGGGCGCTCAGCCGCACTTCTGGGTTCAGTCCCCGAGTCCTGACCAAGCACCGCCGCCGCCGCACGCGGACTAAAACCGCCGCTTCCTGCGGGGGAAGCGCCCGCCGCCACAGCTCGGGTCCGGGACGAGGCTCGGGGGAGGAGCCTCCCTCCCTCCCGCCAGCCGCTGGGAATCTAGGGTCCAGCCGCCGGGATCAAAACCGGCTCTCGGCTCGCCGGGGTCCGAGGGGCTCACCAGCCCACCCGCCAGATGTCCGAGGGTCCCGTCTAAAGCGCCGACCCCAAGCGGACCCCGCCGCGCGACCCGGGCCCCGACCCATTCCTAGCATTAGTCGGAGACGGAGACGGGCGTGACGGACTCACAAGGACTCCAGGTGCTTGAGCTGCTGCAGCTGCTGCGCGTCCTGCCGTCGCCGCTTCAGCTCCCGGCGCCGCTGCAGCTCCTGCTCCGGGGGCTCCCGGGGCCGCCGCGCGCCCCCGGCCCCCGCATCGTCGCGCCCGGGCCGGGACGACATCGCAGCCCCGCGCGGAGCGGCTGAGGCTGCCCGGCCGCGCGGCGAAGACGGTACTTCCTCTGCGCCGCTCTCTCCTGGCCCAGCAGCGCCCCCTCTCGCTGCGGCTCCGCGTCCCGCCGGGCCGAGCCGGGCCGGGTGCCCTCCCCGCGGCCGGCTGCACCCTGCACCGCGGAATGGCCGGCGCGGCCTCGAGTCGTTGATCGGAGCCCTGTCTTCAGGTTGGCTGGTGCCGGAGGCCAGAGCTCGCCCCCTGGCGGCGGCCAGGAGTCGCGGCACTAAGGACGCCGTGTGGAGTTCGGCCAGTTCTGCGAGTGGCTGGGCCCCTCTTGGAGTCGGGCAACTTCCTCGCCATCTCCAACCCGGGAGGCTAGGAAACATGTGCAAGTCCATTTCGTATCCCCCCATGCCTAGGCACACAGGAGCTGCTCGTTACCCGTTAGTAGGATGCACTCAGTTTTTGAAGAAAGCGAGGCTTCCATAGAAATTTTCCAGTTTTCCAAAATTTGTGAGCCATGCGATGTATCAGTTCAGTTGCTCAGTCGTGTCCGCCTCTGTGCGACCCCATGGACTGCAGCACATGCCAGGCTTCTCTGTCTTTCACCAACTCCCGGAGCTTGCTCAAATTCATGTCCATCCAGTCGGTGATGCCATCCACCCATCTCTTTTTCTGTAGTCCCCTTCTCCTCCTGACTTCCATCTTTCCTAGCATCAGGGTCTTTTCAATGAGTCAGTTCTTCGCATCAGGTGGCCAAAGTATTGGAGTTTCAGCTTCAGCATCAGTCCTTCCAATGAATATTCAGGACTGGTTTCCATTAGGATAGACTGGTTGGATCTCTTTGCAGTCTAAGGGACTCTCAAGAGTCTTCTCCAATACCACAGTTCAAAAGCATCAATTATTCTGCGCTCAGCTTTCTGCATGGTCCAATTCTCACATCCATACATGACTACTGGAAAAACCATAGCTTTGACTAGACAGACCTTTGTTGGCAAAATAATGTCTCTGCTTTTTAATATGCTGTCTAGGTTGGTCATAACTTTCCTTCCAAGGAGCAAGCGTCTTTTAATTTCATGGCTGCAGTCACCATCTGCAATGATTCTGGAGCCCCCCAAAATAAAGTCAGCCACTGTTTCCACTGCTTCCCCACCTATTTGCCATGAAGCGATGAGACCAGATGCCATGATCTTAGTTTTCTGAATGTTGAGTTTTAAGCCAACTTTTTCCACTCTCCTTTCATCAAGAGGCTCTTTAGTTCTTCTTCGCTTTCTGCCATAAGGGTGGTGTCATCTGTGTATCTGAGGTTATTGATATTTCTCCTGGCAATCTTGATTCCAGCTTGTGCAGTCTGGCATTTCTCATGATGTACTCTGCATATAAGTTAAATAAGCAGGGTGACACTATACAGCCTTGATGTACTCCTTTCCCAATTTGGAACCAGTCTGTTGTTCCATGTCCAGTTCTAACTGTTGCTTCTTGACCAGCATACAGATTTTTCAGGAGGCAGGTAAGGTGGTATGGTATTCCCATCTCTCTAAGAATTTCCACAGTCTGTTGTGATCCACATAGTCAAAGGCTTTGGTGTAGTCAATAAAGCAGAAGTAGATGTTTTTCTGGAACTCTCTTGCTTTTTCGATGATCCATGCGACGTATAGTCGGTGTAATATACTGAATTTGGACAAGATTTGGGTTCTGGGAATGAAAAGCCAATATATACTGTGCACTCTTTATGTGGTCGTTGAACCAAGCTCTTAATAGTAGAATAGATCATTTAATTAAAAAAATTATAACAAGTGCTGTTACCACCCATGTATATCATCTATATTTAGTGACAAAGAGGCCCAGAGAGCTCAGTGACTTGCACAAGAAAACAACTAGTAGGTCATGGAAAGTGAAAGTGAAGTCGCTCAGTCGTGTCCCACTCTTTTCAACCCCATGGACTCTAACCTAACAGGCTCCTCTGTCCATGGGATTTTCCAGGCAAGAGTACTGGAGTGGGCTGCCATTTCCTTCTCCAGAACCAGCATGCAAAAGTGTTAGGTGCTTAACTAGGTTGTGCTTTGAAACTGTATGTGATATATAATTTTTTTCAGCCTTGAAATAATGGAAGAAACTGCAGAGGAAGTAAAAATAACAGCATAAGGGAAATACTTGCCAAAATATTCAAACTGTTAATGACACAAAACGTGAAGAACTTCTTCAAATTTATTCAGGAAAATACAAACACACAGAAGCTATGCATAGACATCTGAAATTATACTGACATATGCCCTGGAACTTGGAAATTATCTTTTCTTCTAACAATGAAACCAATAAGAATTGTTGAATGAATCTACATTCATTTAGCCATTCATGTGTAACTGATCATGACCTTATGGGGCCTTCCCAGGATAGATCTCTCCCCCATATCCTCTGCCAAAGCTCCTGTTTGAAGTACTCAGATAATAGCATCTCATGCATATTTCCTGAGTGTTTCTTCTTATTTTTTTCCCTGAGTTTTTCAGATGCTAAAAACTGCCACAAAATGGAAGAAATTAACTACTTGATTATCATGAGCCCGAGTCCCCATTGCACCGGAGCTGATCACATATCTTGGGACACCTCCCCACAACTTTGCCTTCAAAATTGCGTTTTGCTGAAACATTTCGAGGCATACAGAGGTTTTTTTGTTTTATTTTATCTTTTTTTTTTAAAAGCATCTTTGCCCCATTCTCCTTGAATAGGGTTGTAATAAAACTTTCTCTGCTCTGAGCTCCGACATTTGGGTCTGGCCTATCTGCCTGCACTGCAGGACACCCGGGTTCAATCCCTGGGTCCGAAAGATCCTCTGGAGAAGGAAATGGCAACCCACTCCAATATTCTTGCCTGGGAAATTCCATGTACAGATGAACCTGGCAGGCTACAGCTCATGGGGTCACAAAGAGTTGGACACGTGCTAAAGGAACACACACTTGCATTCCGCAACAATGGAAGTTATCTGGGCCACTGAGTGACTATATGATGCCTTTTAAGACATTCAAATACAGTCAAGAAAAATGACATAGGCTTTGGAAGCTGTGATTTATAAACAAAGGAAATGTAATCGCGTTGCAGGAAGAAGTTGGTCTGCCGAATCAAGAAGAGGAGAACCAAGGAAAGAAATCAGGTAGTGTTTTCCCAAAGTTGTTGTTATCGAGCAGAAAATTCTGGGGAGTTCCAGAATACGCACAGTACGTATTCCTTCCTTTTACGGTGAACATGTACTGGGCCAGCAGCACCCCAGCCACCAGGGCGCACACACTTGCTCTCACCCTCGCCACGGCTGCTTCTTCCATGGACCGGGCCTCCTGCGCCTACCAGTTCAAGAGAAGAGGTCGCTGGGCGGCCAGGGCCTCTGATGCTCTGGCCCTGAAACCTACTGGGACCCCGCCCCCAGCCCCACCTCGCCCCGCCCCGCCGCACCCGAGCCCAGCCCTAGACACGCCTCGGGCGGCGGGGACTGAGCCTGGTTTGGGGGGCGTGGCTTCGTCCGCGCCAGAGGCGAGAGGCGTATTTCCTCAGAAGCCGCGTCCAAGTCTGCCTGAGAACAGAAAACGGGAATCGAATTAATTCTCTTTCACCGCTAACGAGGAGTATGCAATGGTTCGCTCCAGCTCCGCCCAGTAGAAATTTGATTCCAGCAATCAGGAAAAATTCTCCGTCTTCTGCGCTCCGGAGACACTCAGGACTACAACCCCCAGAAGGCATTGGGACTCAGCGATCTGACTTGCGCAGTAGCTTTCGTTGTAAAGTGCTATGACAACAGGGCGAAGATGGCTTGGAGTTAGGCTTGAATCGGGAGGTGTCCCTTCCGCCGCTGCGGTCCTTTTTCTGCTACATCCCACTCATTGCCTCCTTCATCATTTCCTCTTTGTGAGCAGCATTACTTTCCTCTGTTCTCTCCTGCCTGATCTCTGCCACGGGACTGATGCCGTTTTTCCTGCTCGTCTCTGAGGGTGACAGAGAGAGGATGCGGGAGAGCTACTTGATGGGGTCACTCCAACTCCGTGGAACTGGTGGCGCTACCTGGTGAGACGCTCTCTTTGCCTGGGTCGTGGGACAAGTTGGATCAGGAGAACGAGAAGGAGTAGTAAGGATTGCTTTTCTCTGCGACGTCCGATCTTGCTCGTCGTTCCAGCCCTGGGACCCTGGCAGACATTCTTAAAGGGGCATCTGTAGAGACCGCGAAGGACGGTGGGGCAGGACCCACCTGATTCAGCATCAGGTAAGAAAGTATGTCTAGAATTAAACATCGGATTCATAATGCCCTTTCCGTGTTTTATTATAAATATATATATATATTTATATATATATAAATCAGATTGATTCTCTGATGCCATGTAATGGCTTTGGGAGATAGAGGGTAACAGGTTTCCTATGGAATATGTTTGCATTCAAAAGAAAACAACCAGAACAATGTGTGTGTGTGTGTGTGACCCTGTGAACATGTCGAGAAAGGGTGATACGAATTTTTAAAGATTCCATTCAGGAGTGTCACATGGTGCACAAGCATTCTCCTGTGACACTTCAACAAGTCTTCTGAACAAATGGTCAAAGCAGTTCCCAGCCTGTAACTGAAGTAGGATGCATGTACTAATACCCCTTAATTCCTTCTTGCAATAGGATTATTCCTTCTCCTCCCTTTACATTGCAGACCACAGCAGTTTAGATGAACTGAGGTGAACTCTCTCTCTTCCCCAGTTCAATGCCCTGCAATTGACTCCAATTTTAAGGATCTTTCCCGCCTGCCTGCCCCACATCCATCTCACTTTTACTTTAAAAATGAAACCATATCACAGACATCCACAAGTTGAGGATGCTGGAGGGAAAAGGATGAGTCTTAGCTAAAGTCTGTGAGTATTCAGAGAGGGAGAAATTTTTCTAACCTCTTTCCGTATTTGCTGCAAATACGTAAAGAGAATGTTTGTTGAAGATTTTTTGGTGAATAGGTTGAACTATTATTTAGAATAATATATAAAAGAAACTT